GAGTCGTTGTCACGCTTACTTTGGTGAGTTCACTGGTCGTGTAATGAGTCGTTGTCACGCCTACTTTGGTGAGTACACTGCTTTACTGTTACCTACTTTGGTGAGTACACTGCTTTACTGTTACCTACTTTGGTGAGTACACTGTTTTACTGGTACCTACTTTGGTGAGTACACTGCTTTACTGTTACCTACTTTGGTGAGTACACTGCTTTACTGTTACCTACTTTGGTGAGTACACTGCTTTACTGTTACCTACTTTGGTGAGTACACTGCTTTACTGTTACCTACTTTGGTGAGTACACTGCTTTACTGTTAACTACTTTGGTGAGTACACTGCTTTACTGTTAACTACTTTGGTGAGTACACTGCTTTACTGTTAACTACTTTGGTGAGTACACTGCTTTACTGTTACCTACTTTGGTGAGTACACTGTTTTACTGTTACCTACTTTGGTGAGTACACTGCTTTACTGTTACCTACTTTGGTGAGTACACTGCTTTACTGTTACCTACTTTGGTGAGTACACTGCTTTACTGTTACCTACTTTGGTGAGTACACTGTTTTACTGTTACCTACTTTGGTGAGTACACTGCTTTACTGTTACCTACTTTGGTGAGTATACAATCGAGGTATTAGCTCTTGACCCGCCTTTTTTAAGCAATTTATTTTTCCTCTATTATGTTTACTACTACATATATTTATTTAACACACACACACACTCAGGAAGCAGCCCATAGCAGCTGTCTAACTCCCAGGTAGCTATTTACCGCTTGATGAACAGACATCAGGGTGAAAGAAACCGCCAATTTGTTTCTGCCTCGACCGGGAATCGAAACCGGGCCCTTAGGACTATGACCCCCGAGCGCTGTTCACTCAGCCGCGAGTCACTCGCGGCTGAGTGAATATATAGTTAGGCGCAGGTTAGGTTAGGTAATTGGGTTCTGTTGACGATTATTTGTAACTCAACCCGTCCTCAACCAAGTCCATTCCATCCATCGACACCAAAGACGCATTCCTCAATTTTGCATACGATGTTCATCCAAAATAGGAATTTTCTCAAATATAAATTAATATTATTATATATTAGCAGATTGTGCACACTTATGCAATGGTTAAGTTAGGTGTTTAGGGTCTGTTGGCGATTATTTGGATTTGTTACTGAAGTCTTCTATCAGATAAGAATTTTAATTCATTCTTACTAACAAATAACCACTAACTGTTTTATTACAGTTTTGTGAAATTAATAAATAAATTATTTATAATTAAAATATACATAATTAAATAAATGATTTAATACTTGCATTTCAATTAAATAATAAAATCTCATAAGTTAGTTTTCCCACAGTCGTGAATAAACCCTGTTTCTTGACCAGACCACACACTAGAAGGTGAAGGGACGACGATGTTTCGGTCCGTCCTGGACCATTCTCAAGTAGATTGTGCTGGACCACAATCGACTTGAGAATGGTCCAGGACGGACCGAAACGTCGTCGTCCCTTCACCTTCTAGTGTGTGGTCTGGTCAACATACTTTAGCCACGTTATTGTGACTCATTATTGGCGTTATTGGCGGCTGGATTAACGAGTGTTTGGCCTTTGTTGATGTGGCGCGCTGTGCTCTCCAGTTCTCAGTTACTCTGATGCTCACAAAAATATTTCAATGTGCATAGTGTTCTTCATTCATAAATAATTTAGTAGGTGGATTAAGGAGCATTCTGGTATTATGTATTAGGAGGTGCTGCAGCCATCACTAACCACCCTCTACTTCCCCACACACCATCACTAACAATCCTCTACTCCCCCTACACACCACCACTAACAATCATCTACTCCCCCTACACACCACCACTAACAATCATCTACTCCCCCACACACCACCACTAACAATCCTCTACTCCCCCTACACCACACCACTAACAATCCTCTACTCCCCCCACACACCACCACTAACAATCCTCTACTCCCCCACACACCATCACTAACAATCCTCTACTCCCCCCACACACCACCACTAACAATCCTCTACTCCCCCACACACCATCACTAACAATCCTCTACTCCCCCTACACACCACCACTAACAATCATCTACTCCCCCCACACACCACCACTAACAATCATCTACTCCCCCACACACCATCACTAACAATCCTCTACTCCCCCTACACACCACCACTAACAATCATCTACTCCCCCCACACACCATCACTAACAATCCTCTACTCCCCCTACACACCACCACTAACAATCATCTACTCCCCCACACACCATCACTAACAATCCTCTACTCCCCCCACACACCACCACTAACAATCCTCTACTCCCCCACACACCATCACTAACAATCCTCTACTCCCCCTACACACCACCACTAACAATCATCTACTCCCCCCACACACCACCACTAACAATCATCTACTCCCCCACACACCACCACTAACAATCCTCTACTCCCCCTACACCACACCACTAACAATCCTCTACTCCCCCTACACACCACCAATAACAATCATCTACTCCCCCCACACACCACCACTAACAATCCTCTACTCCCCCTACACACCACCACTAACAATCATCTACTCCCCTACACACCACCACTAACAATCCTCTACTCCCCCTACACACCACCACTAACAATCCTCTACTCCCCCTACACACCACCACTAACAATCCTCTACTCCCCCTACACACCACCACTAACAATCATCTACTCCCCCACACACCATCACTAACAATCCTCTACTCCCCCACACCACCACTAACAATCATCTACTCCCCCCACACACCACTAACAATCCTCTACTCCCCCTACACACCACCACTAACAATCCTCTACTCCACCTACACACTACCACTAACAATCTTCTACTCCCCCTACACACCACCACTAACAATCCTCTACTCCCCCTACACACCACCACTAACAATCCTCTACTCCCCCTACACACCATCACTAACAATCCTCTACTCCCCCACACACCATCACTAACAATCCTCTACTCCCCCTACACACCACCACTAACAATCCTCTACTCCCCCACACCACCACTAACAATCCTCTACTCCCCCACACACCATCACTAACAATCCTCTACTTCCCCCCACACCACTATCCACCATCCACTCTCCCCCCCCCCCACACCACTAACCACCATCCACTCCGCCCACACCACTAACCATCATCCACTTTCCCCACACCACAAACCACCCTCCACACCCCCCCCACACAACTAACCACCATCCACTCCCTCAAACACCACTAACCACCCTCCACTCCCCAACACCACTACCCTCCCTCTAATTCCTCCCCATACCTAAATTTACCTGAAGGCCACAAGTGGCCAGGACGACGACAGGAAGCCGGCGGCTTGCTAAAGATCCCTTAATTTGTTCTGATAATTTAATTATCGGGGAAAATGATGGGATCTTCACCCAAATGATGTGTGTGGGTGATGGGACGTCGTGTAATTCTCAGATCCTGTCCATTCCATCCTGCGGTCGACCCCATATTCATACAGGGTGTTTGCTTTCCTTTTATCGTCCATTGTAACTTGGTTAGTCTCATCTTTTAAGGCTCCTACTGAGTCCTTTGTTTCGGTTCTACTTCTTATATAGGCACAGAACGACTTAGGATCTTTCTTTGTGTTCTGGGCAAGTTTTCTTTTACTTTCTTTTGGCTGATCTGATTTGCTAGTTTTTTTTTATTATTATTATTATTTTCTAGCACAAATGTGGCCACACATTCGTGTTTCCTAGGTGAGTGAGTTTAGTGCCCCTCTGTATGTCTCATTATCAATGACGTCCATCGTGGATTTATATGTTCTCCGGAGGTTCCTCTTGGTTACCAAAGCTTCTTTTACTTCCTATGTCCTCCATCTAGTTACCTTATTTTTGGTGTTTCTATTTTGGCACATACTTTTTAACGAACTCAGAGATGACCTTGAAGTCTTGCCATGATCCTTCCATGCCTTGATCACCTATCAGCTCCCTCCACGAGGTGTTCTGCACTTCCTCTCTCATCCCTTGATACTTTCCTGGATGGCACTCTAGAAAGTCATCATCCTGGACCTTCTTATCTTAAGATTATTTCGGGGCTTAGCGTCCCCGCGGCCCGGTCCTCGACCAGGCCTCCTTTTTGTTACACATCCCCAGGAAGCTGCCCGTAGCAGCTGTCTAACTCCCAGGTACCTATTTACTGCTAGGTAACAGGGGCATCAGGGTGAAAGAAAACTCTGCCCATTTGTTTCCGCCTCCACCGGGGATCGAACCCAAAACCTCAGAACTACGAATCCGAAGCGCTGTTCACTCAGCTGTCAGGCCCCTTTTTGTGGGTTTCTGTAATTGTAATCCACCTTAGAATATAATGATCACACATTAGGGTGAGACTTTTTCCCTACCAGAGATTGATCAATCATACCCTCTTCAGAGGTTAGGGCAAGATCTAGAATGCAGCTGTTACCAATTAGAAAACACGAAGCCCTTACTTTGGTGAGTTCACTGGTCGTGTAATGAGTCGTTGTCACGCCTACTTTGGTGAGTACACTGCTTTACTGTTACCTACTTTGGTGAGTACACTGCTTTACTGTTACCTACTTTGGTGAGTACACTGCTTTACTGTTACCTACTTTGGTGAGTACACTGCTTTACATGTGCGTGGGCTCTACCACAAGCTGTGTGAGAAAGGAGTCCTGTACCAGGTCTAGAGATTGTTGTCTTCTTGCGTGTGACGTTAGTTATCAATGTATTAATGTTTCATGGCTAAAGTTCCCTAGTGTAAGGTCTTGGGTCTCTGACGGTGGTCTCATGACATTATGTTGATCAGCAACATCTCTCTCTCTCTCTACTTCCTCCCCACACCAGCACAACCCTCTCTCCGCTCACTCCCACACCAGTACTAACCTCCCTCCACTCACTCCCACACCAGCACTATCCTCCCTCCACTCACTCCCACACCTGCACTAACCTCCCTCCCTCCGTTCACTCCCACACCTGCACTAACCTCCCTCCGTCTCCTCTTGATGAAGTTAGCGAGTGTAGAGCGCTGGAACATCTCTCGGTGGTGGTGCTGACGGAGGCGCTGCTCCTGCCCGACCTCGCTGCTCACCACCGCCACAACCTGCAACACCCACACCATCACTACACGTCACCAACCACCACACACCATCACTACACGTCACCAACCACCACACACCATCACTACACGTCACCAACCACCACACACCATCACTACACGTCACCAACCACCACACACCATCACTACACGTCACCAACCACCACACACCATCACTACACGTCACCAACCACCACACCATCACTACACATCACCAACCACCACACCATCACTACACATCACCAACCACCACACACCATCACTACACATCACCAACCACCACACCATCACTACACGTCACCAACCACCACACACCATCACTACACGTCACCAACCACCACACCATCACTACACGTCACCAACCACCACACCATCACTACACGTCACCAACCACCACACCATCACTACACGTCACCAACCACCACACCATCACTACACGTCACCAACCACCACACCATCACTACACGTCACCAACCACCACACACCATCACTACACGTCACCAACCACCACACCATCACTACACGTCACCAACCACCACACACCATCACTACACGTCACCAACCACCACACCATCACTACACATCACCAACCACCACACCATCACTACACGTCACCAACCACCACACCATCACTACACGTCACCATCCACCACACCATCACTACACGTCACCAACCACCACACCATCACTACACGTCACCAACCACCACACCATCACTACACGTCACCAACCACCACACCATCACTACACGTCACCAACCACCACACACCATCACTACACGTCACCAACCACCACACCATCACTACACGTCACCAACCACCACACACCATCACTACACGTCACCAACCACCACACACCATCACTACACGTCACCAACCACCACACACCATCACTACACATCACCAACCACCACACCATCACTACACGTCACCAACCACCACACCATCACTACACGTCACCATCCACCACACACCATCACTACACGTCACCAACCACCACACCATCACTACACGTCACCAACCACCACCACTACACGTCACCATCCACCATACACCACCACTACACGTCACCAACCACCACACACCACCACTACACGTCACCAACCACCACACACCATCACTACACGTCACCATCCACCACACCACCACTACACGTCACCATCCACCACACACCATCACTTCACGTCACCAACCACCACACACCATCACTACACGTCACCATCCACCACACCATCACTACACGTCACCAACCACCACACACCATCACTACACGTCACCAACCACCACACACCATCACTACACATCACCAACCACCACACCATCACTACACGTCACCATCCACCACACACCATCACTACACATCACCAACTACCACACCATCACTACACGTCACCAACCACCACACACCATCACTACACGTCATCATCCACCACACACCATCACTACACGTCACCAACCACCACACACCATCACTACACATCACCAACCACCAACACCATCACTACACGTCACCAACCACCACACACCATCACTACACGTCACCATCCACCATCACTACACGTCACCATCCACCACACACCATCACTACACGTCACCATCCACCACACACCATCACTACACGTCACCAACCACCACACACCACCACTACACGTCACCATCCACCACACACCATCACTACACGTCACCAACCACCACACACCATCACTACACGTCACCATCCACCACACCATCACTACACGTCACCATCCACCACACACCATCACTACACGTCACCAACCACCACACACCATCACTACACGTCACCATCCACCACACACCATCACTACTAGTCACCAACCACCACTACACGTCACCATCCACCACACACCATCACTACACGTCACCAACCACCACACACCACCACTACACGTCACCAACCACCACACCATCACTACACGTCACCAACCACCACACCATCACTACACGTCACCAACCACCACACCACCACTACACGTCACCAACCACCACACCATCACTACACGTCACCAACCACCACACCACCACTACACGTCACCAACCACCACACCATCACTACACGTCACCAACCACCACACCACCACTACACGTCACCAACCACCACACCATCACTACACATCACCAACCACCTCACACCATCACTACACGTCACCAACCACCACACACCATCACTACACGTCTCCAACCACCACACACCATCACTACACATCACCAACCACCACACCATCACTACACATCACCAACCACCACACACCATCACTACACATCACCGACCACCACACACCATCACTACACATCACCAACCACCACACACCATCACTACACATCACCAACCACCACACACCATCACCAACCACCACACCATCACTACACATCACCAACCACCACACACCATCACTACACGTCACCAACCACCACACCATCACTACACATCACCAACCACCACACACCATCACTACACGTCACCAACCACCACACACCATCACTACACGTCACCAACCACCACACCATCACTACACGTCACCAACCACCACACACCATCACTACACGTCACCATCCACCACACACCATCACTACACGTCACCAACCACCACACCATCACTACACGTCACCAACCACCACACCATCACTACACGTCACCATCCACCACACACCATCACTACACATCACCAACCACCACACCATCACTACACATCACCAACCACCACACCATCACTACACGTCACCAACCACCACACCATCACTACACATCACCAACCACCACACACCATCACTACACATCACCAACCACCACACCATCACTACACGTCACCAACCACCACACCATCACTACACGTCACCAACCACCACACCATCACTACACATCACCAACCACCACACCATCACTACACGTCACCAACCACCACACACCATCACTACACATCACCAACCACCACACCATCACTACACGTCACCAACCACCACACACCATCACTACACGTCACCAACCACCACTACACGTCACCAACCACCACACCATCACTACACATCACCAACTACCACACCATCACTACACGTCACCAACCACCACACACCATCACTACACGTCACCATCCACCACACACCATCACTACACGTCACCAACCACCACACACAATCACTACACGTCACCATCCACCACACACCATCACTACACGTCACCAACCACCACACCATCACTACACGTCACCAACCACCACACACCATCACTACACGTCACCATCCACCACACACCATCACTACACATCACCAACTACCACACCATCACTACACGTCACCAACCACCACACACCATCACTACACGTCACCATCCACCACACACCATCACTACACGTCACCAACCACCACACACCATCACTACACGTCACCATCCACCATACACCATCACTACACGTCACCAACCACCACACACCATCACTACACATCACCAACCACCACACACCATCACTACACATCACCAACCACCACACCATCACTACACATCACCAACCACCACACCATCACTACACGTCACCAACCACCACACCATCACTACACATCACCAACCACCACACACCATCACTACACATCACCAACCACCACACCATCACTACACGTCACCAACCACCACGCACCATCACTACACGTCACCAACCACCATACCATCACTACACGTCACCAACCACCACGCACCATCACTACACGTCACCAACCACCACACCATCACTACACGTCACCAACCACCACTACACGTCTGCCCTACCATGCAATAGTATCATAATTACGTCATGTCAAGGAAAAATTATATATTATTTTTTGGTGATGATAGTACATGTTGACTCTGACGAACTGTGAGGCAGGCGACGGGCAGTGGAACTGAGGGATATTCAGAGCCATTAGGGAGATGAATGTAATTATCTGAAAACTTTGGAGGAGACGAATATCGCACATTTCTTCACATGGTCACTCGGGAAGGTTAGCCCAATGCTCTCAATATATAGGCAAGACATCAACATTTTTCTTTCCAAGTTGCTTGGCAATGTACAAATAACGAGGCAACGACAAATGCATAACTTCTTCACACAACGAGATCGTCTCCCGATCAACAAAACAAGGACCATAGGAGATTAGACATTAGCAAAGCACTACATATTAAGGAATCTCATCCCACTTAGGTACATTATACTCTTCTCAAGACCAAGGCAGAATATGCAGCTGACACCTCACATACTGCTCCTATCTTTCTATCGACTGGGTAAGAACGTCACCTCCGCCTCCTTGGTTACATCTTCTGTAGATTTACCTAACTTATACACTTTCCTCTTTGCCTCCGAAGATGTTGGCTATATAGTCGTAATGGCTTGGCGCTTTTTCCCTGATAGTTCCCTTCCCTTCCGAAGATGTTGACAGGGTCAACGAAACGCATCTCTTAGTGTCAGGCGTCAGGGAATATCTCTTAGTGTTAGGCGTCAGGGAATATCTCTTAGTGTCAGGCGTCAGGGAATATCTCTTAGTGTCAGGCGTCAGGGAATATCTCTTAGTGTCAGGCGTCAGGGAATATCTCTTAGTGTCAGGCGTCAGGGAATATCTCTTAGTGTCAGGCGTCAGGGAATATCTCTTAGTTTCAGGCGTCAGGGAATATCTCTTAGTGTCAGGCGTCAGGGAATATCTCTTAGTGTCAGGCGTCAGGGAATATCTCTTAGTGTCAGGCGTCAGGGAATATAAAACTGTAAAATGAATTTATGAGAGTTAGTTTGTCAACTTCCTTCAAGAAGGGAAGAACGAGGGAACCATAGAGAAGATTCGTGATAGAATAATTGATCTCACGCTTTCTGACATATTCAATAACTTACACATGCACTTTCCTTGAATGGTTGTTGAGTATGTCCTTGTCCTACGACCCTTAATTAATAAATTATGCATTATTATTTATTTATTTAGATTATTACCTTGTGTTGCAGCTTGCAAAATACACATATGTATGGCAATTACTGTGTAAAAACCTGCTACAAT